TCACGTGGCCCCGCCCCAAACTCACTCGTCTCATCGGCCGGGTCGGCAGGCCGACACAGAGACAAAAGCGGGGCGCTTCGGCGACGACACGCCACTCGCCGCTCCATGGACCCCTCCTCGTGTTTCCAGCCAAACTGGCCCACAAACACTCAAACTTTTCCGTGACACGGCCGGGACGAGCGAACACGCGCATTAACCGCAGGGAGCGGCACTGCCTCCGCCCCGCCCCGCCGGCCCGCGCCGCACGGACGAACAGAAGGCCGTCATCAACTTTGTCGACTTTGTCCATTCACTGGCTCGCCGAGGCACGGCGTAGCACGGCGTAGCACGGCGTAGCACGGCGTAGCACGGCGTAGCACGGCGTAGCACGGCGTAGCACGGCGTAGCACGGCGTAGCACGGCGTAGCACGGCGTGGCGCGGCGGGCCTTTGCGACAAGCCACAGCCCCGTCCCTGTTGGCGTCGATTGGCGCGAATAATAAGACACCCTCACACCGGTGGGCGGGGCCAGCGGGGCGGGGGCGGAGGACAATGGCGGCGGTGGAAAATTATTTGGGCCGCCGAAAGAACAGAGCAGCCACTTACAGCGGTTGGCTGCCTCCGAAGCGGGCCGGACTTTTTGTTCGGAACAGGGGAAGGAGGAAGGATGTCGACAGCCACCGGCTAGCGTAGCTACACTGGAAGGGTGCGGGGGCGGCAGCGGCACCACCACCACGACCGCGACGACACCGGGCCTGACAAGGATCCGCGCCCGGCCTGTCACACTGCAAGCTCATTCCCAACAGGGCCTCGTCCCTCTGTCTCTCTCGCACTCGCGGGCGTCCCGAAGGGGTGCGACAGAGAGGGAGCGGCGCTCGGAATCAGTGTGCCGGACCGCTGCCTGCGGCGCTGCGGCCCTCTGCTCTGCTCAACTTGAACCAACTTGTCCACCCCGCCGCGCCGGACCACCCTGGCCGTTGTCCACCCTCCTGTGAGAGTGTGTGTATGTGTGTGTGTCCAGAAGGTGCCGCACGCCGGGCTGATCATCGTCTGCTTTATTGAGCCACTCGACGCCCAAGCCCTCCACACGGAATCCAATAACACTCCACCAACTCGAGGCGTGGCGTCGCGGGTCCGCCTTTCGGGTCCGCCTTTCGGGTCCGCCTTTCGGGTCCGCCTTTCGGGTCCGCCTTTCGGGTCCGCCTTTCGGGTCCGCCTTTCGGGTCCGCCTTTCGGGTCCGCCTTTCGGGTCCGCCTTTCGGGTCCGCCTTTCGGGTCCGCCTTTCGGGTCCGCCTTTCGGGTCCGCCACCACCGCGGCGACAACAACGAGGCAGTCGGGGTGGCCGAGCGACCGCCGTGCCGATCCGATCCATTCCAGGGCACCGCCTCCCAACTTCCTTCCACCCAATAAACTTTCCGGCGGCGGGGCGGGTTGGACCCGGCCGCTTTGAAGACCTCGATGGCCATCGGTAACGAAATGAGAATAATGAGAACGCAACGCGGCAACAATGTCACCGGGGCGTCGGGAACGTCACGACAAACGGGACGCGGCCACGGCGAGCCATCTCCGGACACAATGTAACAGATGGGGCGCGGCGCCATGGGGCACGCGGCACGCCGTTCGGAAAAGCGGAGTGGTTGTCCTCGCCGCTGTCGCCACCGCAGCTGTCGCGACTGCAGCCCGTGCATCCCGCATCTGCCGGCCGCGCGCGCCACGCTGCAAAAACAGGACGCAGCGGCCGCGTGTCGGGCGACAGTGGGCGACGGCCTCTCACCCCGCGGTCGGAGGGCGGCTAGGCTGTGGCTGCCAGCCGGCCTGCCTGCCAGCCTGCCTGGGCGGCAGCGGAGTGCGTTTCGGCCGGTTTACGCTACGCGGGCAACCACTGCACGGCCGCGCAGCCGGGCCACGCTTTTCAGGCGGAGTGTATACGTGTACGTGCGTGAGAGTGCGAGTGTGTGCGTGCGCGCGCAGCACGGCGATTTAGCGCCATCACGCAGCCGAGCCACGCACCAGGTCGGCGCGTCAGTTCCATGAACGCGTACGCCACGGCAACACCACCAGCCTGCTGCTGCTTGCTGCACCGTCCGCGCCAACAACAACAGCACCACCACCACCAACAACAACAACAATGGCCGCAGGAATCTCTGGTGATTGTCCTGCCAATCGCAACGCGGCGCGCGGCCCGACCGACCGTGCGTGTCATTCACTGCGCCAAACACGGCGGCGGGCCTGCCGCTGGAGGACGACATCCTCGTCGTCGAGCTCGTCGTCCTGCTGCACGGCGGCACGCGCTTCCCGGAGGACGATGAGGTAGATCAGGCGCGTGTGCTACCTGATTCCGAACAGCGCTTTCGTCCCTCTATCTCTCTCGCCCCCCTTCGGGACGCCCCACGAGTGCGAGAGAGACACAGCGACGCAGCCTGCTGGTGGCGGCGCCGCGCATAGTTTGGTTCCGAGCGGCCTGCAGCCCTGTGCCGCTGGCTCCGTCCAGAGGCACGGCCCGGGCACGGCCGCAACCAGAAGGCCGCGCGCCGCGCATTAATGGCAGGAAAAAGAAAACTCAACACTCACACACACAGACGCCGCACGCACACCGAGACACGTGTGAACATTTTGGCACGGCGGCTGCTGACTGCGCCCGTCCTTGCCGCCCATCGCGCTGAGCGCAAAACGATACGACTGCACGCGCGGCACGTCCAGAGGCACTACACCGTGCGTGGCGTGGCGTGGCCGCTCCGCCGCTTCGGGCAGTAAAAGCGCCGCGGTCGCGCCCAGGTCGCCGAGTAGGCGCGGTGCGACCGACGGGGGCCTCAAAGGCCTCTGTTATGGGCGCTACCAAACACTACCAAAAGCACGCCCCAACGCCGCGAATCCGTGCCGAGCCGAGCCGAGCTAGGGGTTCGCGGGCAGTGTATATCCCGTGTGCATTGGCAAGCCAGCCAGCCAGCCAGGCAGCCAGCCGGTGGAGGGCTTATAAGCACGGCGGTGTGCGCTACGCGCTACGTACGCCGGCTGGAATGTTAGCAGGTGTGAACCGCCGGCCGAATGCCGCCACGGTCTTTCGTCCGTCGCTCTCCCTCGCACTCGCCCCGTCCCGCACGGGTGCGAGAGAGACAGAGCGACGAGATCCCTCGTTCGGAATGAGGCTAGGCCGCTCTGCGCCGCTCTGCGTCCGTCCGAAAATAAACGGGCGAGTGCCCCTCGGCTCGGCAGCCTCGCTCCAGTGCCGGTATGCCGCGCGCCGCGCCCAAATACGTGCACGCGCCGCCGGAGTCATCAATCCATCCCCATGCCGCCAGGCCGCCATCTAGGAGGCCAGGTACTCCGACCGATTAGTCCCCCCCCCTCTCCCTCTCTCTCGATCTCAGTTCCTGTGACCACGAATCACAGGAGGCAATACAAAAAACCGCTTACGCTAACGTGAACTTAAAACGAGGAAATTTTTGTCTAATTCGTATTTTTTGCATCGTCAGCTAAAAAGATAATGCAACTTTTTTGTTGGTGTTGTATTTATTCTTTTGAGAAATTTTACCTTTGTCTCAGCTCTCCAGTCCAGACAGTCCACGCACATTACCGCGAGCATGACGTCGGCCAGAGGAAACTCCGCCGCGGCGGCCGTGAACGGTTTACGGACAAACTTTGGGCCAGACCGCGCGAAGAGAGTCGTACCGCGACGCCTCATGTTTTCTGCGGCTGCCCGCAAGAGACCGGGCACCGCGCGCCGCGCCTCGCTGTGGCTGTGTTCGCGCTCCGCGCAGCGCGGCTGGTGTTAATGAGCCGAGTTTCAGGTAAAAACGCGGCGGCCAGCTGTGGCGGACCCAGCGGGCTGGATCCAGGCAGTGCTTTCGCCGCTCTGTCCCTCTCGCACCCGTCTGAAACGCTCCACGAGTGCGAGAGAGATGGAGCGACGCAGCTCTGTTCGGAAGCAGACGACTGAGAGCACGTCCCGTGATATATCTCAAGGCAGGCCCAAAGCACACCTTAAAGCCCGCCCGCTGCTCGCCAGGCCAGGGCAGGCGTATTGCAAGTAGTTTGCCCACCACTCGGACTGGCCATCTATCAAGAGGGCCCCCATGATCAAGGCCGCACACACACGCGGACACACACAGGCGCGCCGGGTACATTAGGCGAGGCAATGACAAAGACCGTGACCAACGAGCCTCGTATTGGCCCGGGCGTACGCAAACCACTCGTTGGGCGGCACACGGCAGGCACGGCACGGCACGGCACGGCAGGCAGGGCGCCTCGAGGCGTGCCGATCGCAGGCCCCGTCCTGTACAGCAACGCTGTACCTGGCGCACCCGGTGTACCTAGGCCTCGGGGCGTAACCAGCGGGCTGGCAGCAGGAAGCACGCGAAGCAGGCGAAGCACGCTTGGCCCAAGTCAAGGTCAATCGAATTGCAGACAAGACGCATCCACTACCCGGCAAAGCAAAGGACGGCGTCGACCTCCTGGCCGTTGTGTGTGGGAGTTGTGGAGCGATACGCCCCGTCAAGCCGCCGGGCGAACGGCCGCCGTCCTTGGCCGGGCCGATGTTGACGTCCGGAAGGCGCCCGGCCCGCCGCGCGGCCCGCCCTGCCATGACAGCCGCCGGCCGCGGAATTACAGTGCAGCACGTCGCCGTCGTCCGGCACAGGGCAGAGTCCGCGCGCCGTCCGCGTTCGGCCGCCAGGCTGGACCCGAAACGGCCCATTGACGGCATCGCAGGCGCCGGCCAGGCCGCCAACAGGTGTCCCAAGTCCCGTCCCAGGAGGAGCAGGGCCGAGCAGGGCCGAGCAGGGACGAGGTGACGGTGACCTCTTCGCGCTCCTAAACGACGTCGTGGTGTGCGAGGAACCGCTGCCGACCTTTGAGACCGAAAACCTTTTCCGCACTTGCCGCACCAATGCCCGGCCCTCGGCCCGGCCCCTTCCGAACGGCCGCTGTCTGCTCGCACGCACGGGGAGAGACGAACGCAGTGCACGCCCACGCGCGTGGCGGCGCGAGGCCGCCTCATCAGCACGCGGCACTCACCACTCACCTTTCACTGGAGGGGACGAGTCATCCAGGCAGAGAGCGCAGCCTGGCAGTCTGCAACAGAGAGAGAAAGAGAGCCGTGAGCACGTGTCATCTGGAGCGACGGCGAGGGGCTGGGCTAGGCTGGGCCGCCCGGGCAGTAGGCAACCCGGCGACACCCGTGCGTGGAGCGCGTTAGGGCTGCCTACCTGCCGGGCGGCCAGCCGCCAGCAGCGACCGCAGCCATCCTGATCCTGGCCAAGTGGAGCCCAAGGTGAAGGCTGCGCGCTGCGCGCTGCGCCGTACGAGTCTGGGCCGCGGGCCGGGTCGGCCTCCGCGCCTCGAGCAGCCTCGCTGGAGCAGCAGGCCGCCAGGCTGCCGCATGGTGCCTGCCGCAGGCAAAGCATCCCACACTCTGCGAAAAACAAACCCCGTGCCTTTCCCACGCCGCGAGAAAACGGCGCGAGGCAGCCCGGCGCAGCCCGGCCGCCCGCGGTTTGTTATTTAACCGCTCCTTTACTTGCAACCGGAGCGACGCCTCGCCGTCTGTCTAACGCATTTCTACGTCCACGTGCATCCTTGCGCTGATTGCATCGCTCCGCAAACGGCGGGGCAAGGCCGGCGCACGAGAGCAGCGGCGTAGCGCAGTGGTCAGCGTGCTGACCTGCGGAACTAGAGGACCCTGGTTCAACTACCAGCACTTTCGGATTATGATTTTTATTTTTAGCAGAAAATCTTGATCAGTCAGCTTGGACTCCCGATCGTAGCGACCTCTAAACGCTCTAACGTTCAAAATTGATAAAATCCTATTTCCTGTTTTATTTTATTTTTGAAAACCATAGCAGAGAAAATATATTTTTTTCTTGTTGTTTTTTTGGTAAGTCGGGTCTAATAGACCCTCTGTCTCTTCAAATTTAATCAGGTCACGTTCGTCACGAATAATTCGAGTCAAGGGAGGCTCGGCTTCTGAGCTTCCGTCATAGCTTCCGGATAGAGAAGGGTTCAGGGGGGATGTCGCAAAATTTGCCTATTTACAGGGGTGAAGTGCGAGTCTTTTCTTACCTTTCAGGTGGCTCTGCCGCCTATACGGTGCCTCCCTATCCAACGGCCTACCTCTCCCCCTGGATCCGCGCCTGCTTCCAGGGCGCTGCTGGTCCTCCGGGCCACTGCCTAGCCTCCAGCGGGCCTCCAGCGGGCCTCCAGGCTTCCAGAGGGACGGCAGCGCACTGTCCAATCCCCGAGCCGCGCTCTACTTGACACGAATCCCCTCGAGGACGGACCGCTTCTTGACATTGACAGCGCCCCCCCCTCCCCCCTCTCCTGCCCGTTCCGCGGCGTCACAGCGGAAAGTTCATCAGCCGCTCGTCGCGGACGTCGAGGCCCTCGCCGATTTGCAGGGCAAACGCCACCAGCATCGCGCTGGACTGGCACTGCCAGTGCAGACGCACCAGCGCGAGTTCGCGGATTGCGTCATCGACACTGGGAGACTGTATTAGGTTTAGCCGCGAACCCAGAGGAAGTGGAGCTAGCCGCGCAAAAGCCAAAGGGGTCATAGAAGCCAAAGCAAAACGGCAGAAGGACAAAGGCCACAGCCAAAGCGAGCCCTTCGGGCCCGTCAGCGGCATAGCGCCAGCTGCGCAACGTCCCTCGGCTGTCGCGGAATGGCTGGCTGCTTGTGTGCAGCACTGCAGCTGTTGTTTTCCTCCGATCCCCGCCACATTTCTCGCCGCGCACCCCTCCTGCACCATCCTGCCGCCCCTGCCGCCCCTTCGACGGCTAATCACCTCCTCAGAAGGCGTGGCACCGCCTGGAGGCGGATTCCGCACCGTCGCTCCGTCTCTCTCACGCGCAAGCGGCACCAGCGGTGCGCCGCACGAGTGCGATAGAGACAGAGCGACGACAGCGAGCGGCGCACCGACCTCCCCGCGACAATGACGCTGTAATGAGGAGGGGGAGGGGGGGCGGAGAAGCGCACCGACGACAACACGACAACACAACCGCCGGCGCGGCCGCCGCAGGTGCACACCTGCAGGCCTGCAGCGCGAGGTTCGCGGTGCGCGGTGCGCGAGGTCTAGGACGAGGTCTTCGGCGACGTGAGCCCCACGCCCGCGTCGCGCGCATCACATCGTAAAGCACGGCGGCGGTGTTGTCATCGGGTCGCGGCGTGACGCCGTGACGCCGTCGCCAGGGTGATGGGCGCGAGGCGGCGAGGCAACGCGCCGATGTGGAGCACGGCCACCGTGAGGACGGCGGGGACGACGCGGTGCTCCAGGCGTGTGGCGGTCGCCGGGGGCCGTCCGTAATCCAATTACTTCCGCCACTTGCCGCTCGCCGGCGCCGCAGACTGTCGCGAACCAGCTATCGAATCCGGCGACGGCAGTCGCCAACTTTCGGCGGGGCCGGAGAGATGGACGAGTACGGACGTGCCGCGAGACAAAAGCCAGGTTGGGCTGTGTGGCGTGTGTGAGCTCGTCATCCAGTCGAGCGATTCCGCCTCGCTCTGTCTCTCTCGCACCCCTATGGCAGCATTGCTCGACAATCCCCCGGTCCTGGTGTCCGGACTGTCCGGACTGGTGTCCGCGCCGCGCCAAGTGTCTTGTCAGCGGGGCCCTCCCATTGTGGCTGGCTGGCGGGCTGGCTGGCTGGCTGGCTGGCTGGGTCCAGCCGCTGGACGGGATCAAGCGCTGTTAACGCTGCGGGCGACGTGCGCCGCCACGAGTTAAGCTGATGGGCCCTCAGATTGACGGGCCAAACGGGGTCGGCCGGGATGGCCAAGGACACGCCGCGCCGCCGCCCCGCTGTGCGTTGCCGCTGTGCGGTGCCGCACGCCGCAGTGCCCGGCAGTGCCCGGCGAAGCGACGATCCGATTACTCTGATGAGTCAATCGCAAAGCTGCTGCCACGCAGCGGGGCGGGGCGGGGAGGACTGGCGCCGACCCGGGCTGACCCGAGAGGTGTCTAGCCGCCGATGCGCCAAAGACCCACCTCGACCCACCGCGGCAAACAGGTTCACCCGGCGGCAGGCCGCGGCAGGCAGCCCCGCTGCGCCGCTACGGCCGACGACCCCGGCTAGAACCTCCGGACCTCCGGACCTCCAGGACGAGCAGCGCGCCGACCGGAGCCCTTCACCGCGGCCACCGTAAGCGCGTCAGCGGCACAGGGCAGACATGTTTACGATAACCACAAACACGAAGCCGAAGCAGTCGGGCTTTCCGTCGTCGTCGCTTCGAAACCGTCGGTTTCCCCGAGTTATCGGAGACGGACTCCAGACTGTTCTCGCCGCTCTCGCCGCGCTGGTGGCGGCGTCCTCAAGGAGTCCTTCGCGGACGTCACCGGGACCGCGCCGCCGTGCGACACCCGACCGCGCTGACCACCACAATGGCGGCGAAATATAACGAACCGCCGAAAAACGATATCGGGTTGCCGATGCTGCGCGCTGCGGTGTCCACAGTCCACGTCCACGCGGCACGCCGCGGCACGCACAAGGGCCGACGCACACCACGGCTGCGGTGCGGCCGCGTCTGCCATATATTTTCCAGCCGCTTTTCCCGCAGGCCGAGCCAGCCGGCCAGCCAGGCAGCCAGGCAGCCGGCGACGCGGCCAGCAGGTGTGCTCGTTCCCGTGCCTCGGCAATAAGCCCCTTGTTCGGGTGCACACACACACACACACACACACACACACGCATCCTCTTGGCGCGGGGTCGGGGTGCCGGCAACCCCGCGGCACCGGTCACCCCGCGAAAGCAGCGCACCGCGGTCTCCAATCAGCCGTGCCGAGCCCCGGCCAGAGCCCCGGCCAGGGCCCCAACGCCAAACACACGGAGGATGTCCCGCGCCAGCACACCCTCTCTCTCCCTTCTCTCTCTCTCTCTCTCTCTCTCTCTCTCTCTCTCTCTCTCTCTCTCTCTCTCTCTCTCTCTCTCACACACACACACACGTCGGCGAATTAAACTTGTCCTGCTGAGTACCGGCAGGTCAAACCGGGCCGGAGTTTCAGAGCCGCATATCCATATCAAAGCCTGCACCCTTTCTGGCTGAGGGGCTCCACGAGAAACTCCATGAGGGCACTTGCAGCGCAGCTTGAACTTGATGAAAGCAGCGCACCCTGGGCCTGCGGTTTCGGGTCCGGGCCCGGGCCGTCCCAGCGTCCCATGTGCCGCCAGGCTGCGCCAAGGGAACCGCCTGGCGGGTAGGCATCCACGCCCGGCACGCACGCGCGATTGCGCGAGGGCTTGCCTACCCGCCGGGCGGCCTGCCACTTGCAGTGCAGTGCACTGCCAACTGCTCTTCGTGCGGCGCAAAAGGATTGCGTGTTTCGCGATGCCCAAAGCCCACCCGCCAAATCGGCCAAAGCGGCCGTCCAGCCGTGACGAATCAGAGAGTCGCGGAGTCCGAAGTCCGGCCGCCGCTGCGACGCCAGGCGACGCCAGGCGACGCCATGCAGAGCCTGCTGGCAAGCCCGGGCCGAAACTGCACGCCTGCTGCGTCACGTCACCACGTGACGTGTCCTTGACCCTTGCCCTGCACTGTCAAGGCTCCCCCCGCCCCGCCCCGTCCCACGTTGCACGCGCCCAAAGCCCTGAAGCCCGCCAAGGTGCCATCACCGGCACTGCCCCGCGCCCCACCCCGCCCCGCCCCGCCGCCCCGCCCAGCCGAGTCTGTGCACAACGCGACGCCGTGCCCGTGTCCTGGGCACGTGAGCTCGTGAGCAGCCCCCCTCCCCTCCCCCCTTCTAGGCAGCCGCAGAAGTTGTGCAGGTGTCCGCCCCTGGCAGTGGAGTGGACTAGCGTCGCTCGGCACGGCAAATGAGACGCCGAAAACGAGCACAGCACTCCGGACACTGGGCTGGACTTCGCTTCGTCGCTGTCTCTCTCGCGCCATGGGACGCACCACGAGTGCGAGAGAGACAGCGCTCCGAAAGCACTGTCCGGACGGAATCAGTCCCCAGGCCAACTACTCGATGACAATGGGAGCGACCGGCCGGCACCGTCGACGACGCCCGGCCGAGCCGAATCCGGCGACCGGCAAAGTCACGACACGACGCCGTTCGACACACTTGGCAGTGGAGCGCGTCCTT